TGATCTGTTTGATTCCCAGAGCACACATGATGGAAGGAGATAACTGATTGCTGCAGGTTGTTGTCAGACCTCCACATGCATGCCATAACATCCACACTTGTACACACACACACACACACACACACATTCAAGCCCCCACACTAAATCTATTTTTAAAAAAAGAATGAGTCGGGCCGGTTGTGGTGGCGCACGCCTTTAATCCCAGCACTCAGGAGGCAGAGGCAGGTGGATCTCTGTGAGTTCAAGGCCAGCCTGGTCTACATAGTGAGTTCCAGGACAGCTGGGACAAGAAATGGAAAGGTTATGGTTTAATAGTGATGTGTTTGTGTCAAGTTAACAAGGGATCAATTGTGGTGAATCGCTTTAGTTGTCAACTTAACATACCTGCATGGAGGGAGCTTCAGTTGGGGAATTTTCACTGTTGGACTGACATGTGGCCATGTCTGTGGGGTAGCTTCTTGATTTTTGAGTGATTTGGGAGGGCCCCCTGTGGGTGGTGCTACCCCTGGGCAGGTGGGCTATGTTGTATAAGAAAGCAGGTTGATCAGGGGCCAGGGGAGCAAGCCAGTGAGCAGCATTCCTCCATGACCTGTGCTTCAGCTTCTGCCCTGAGTTCCTACCTTGGGCTCCCTGATGAACTGTGACCTAGGAGATGTAAGCCAAATAAACCTTTTCCTCCTCAAGTTGGTATTGGTCAGAGTGTTTTGTCACAGCAATTGAAAGCAAACTAGAACACCCAGCAACCCTTGACTTGTAGATGCACATAATGATCTTCTCCCCATGCACCCCCTTTCCTCCCCCGCCCCTGTGTCTCTCAATCTGTGGGCTGTCTCCAGTTTGTGAGCTCAAGTGATCTTGTCTGAGTAGGAGCAGGTGTGGTCTCCCTGATTGTCTTGGCTGTGACTCAGAACTACACCAGTAAGGTTAGAGGAGGTGCCCACCCTACACCAGTATGAACTCATCTTAACCAATCATATTGACAATGATCCATTTTCTTTTTTTGAATCCAGGGCCTAACATGTTAGGTAGACTCTTTACCATTGAGACAACCCCCAGCTCTACAGTGGCTCCTTTTACAAATAAAGTCATTTACTAAGGCACTAGAGTTAAGAATCCACCATATCTCATTATTTTGGAGACAATCCAACACTGTAGTCCAAGCTGGCTTGGAGTTCAGGCTATCCTCAAACTTGAATCAGTCCTCCTGCCTCAGCTTTGTGGGTCCTGGAATAATAGATGTGAGCCACCAGACATAGCTATCAACCTATCTTTTTAAGGAATACAACTTAGGGCATATGTCATATACTAAAAAGTAGTTCATACAGCCTGATTTTCTTTTCTCATAGCAACTCAAATAATTTAAATGACTACCTCATAGAGGTAAATAAAATGTCTAGCTGATTTCATCTGATTAAAAAAACTTGACTAAGGGCTGGAGAGATGTCTCAGTGGTTAACAGTACTGGCTGCCCTTGTAGAGGACCTGGGTTCAATTCCCAGCACTCACATGGTGGCTAACAACTCTCTGTAACTCCAGTTCCAGGGGAATCTGACACCCTCGTCTGATCTCTGAGGGCATTGCACAACACAAGTGCACCTACCTACATGCAGGCAATACACTCATAAACATTAAAAAAAAAAAAAAAGACTGTACTTTATGATTTTGTTTGCTTCTTGGTTTATATGGAAACTCTCAGTTACTAAAAGAAGTATCCTTTGATCTGGGCCTGGTGGTGCACATCTTTAATCCTAGCACTCAGGAGGCAGAGGTAGACAGATCTCTGAGTTCAAGGCCATCCTTGTCTACACAATGAGTTCCAGGCTGAATTCTCTGATCAAAGTTCCTTTTAGGAATTTAGAATCAGAATGATTCTTGCTCAGTTCAGCAACTTGATTTGAGATGTAAACCACAGCTATCTGCTGTGGCCTTCTCTTTACAATGTGGGCTGGGGAACAGTGTTTTTTGTGATTGCATAAAGCAGATTAGCACAGCTATGGCTAAGTCGTGCCTGTTCCCACCCCCCACCCCACCCCACCCTCTGTCCCAGGCAGGGTCTTGCTGGCTCCAGGTTCACAATCCTCTTACATCAGCCTCCTGAGTGCTGAGATTACAAGGGTATAACCACTACATCCAGCAAATCTTAATGAAATTACAGTCCTGAGTGCATTCTTGTTTTTGATGTCTCTAAGCCATCCTATAGCCTCAGAATTTTTGTTTTTCTAAACAAGTTTGACCTAGTTTTCAAATTTAGAAAACATTTGAAAAAAACTGTGTGTGATCCAGGTGTGGTGGCATATACTAATCCCATCACATGAGAAGCAGAGGCAGGAGGCTGTCTGGGACTGAGGTCAACCTGGTCTGCACAGCAAGTTCCAGGCCAGCTGGGGCTACAGTGAGACTCTGTCTCAAAACAAAACAAAATTTTCTGTGTTATATGTATGTATGCACATGAGTGTAGACACCCTCAGAGGCCTGAGGCATTAGATCCCCCTGGAGCAGTGTTATAGGCTGTTGTGAGTCACCTGACATAGTGGTAGAAACCGAACTCAGGTCCTCTGAAAGAGCAATATGTGCTCTTAACTACTGAGCCATCTCTCCAGTCCCCTAGAAAACCCTTTTTAAAATCAGCACCCATATGTGGTGCAGATTAGGAGGTGCTGTCTAGTATAGCAGGTACTACCCCCTCTATTAAAACTAAAAAAATATTAACAAAGCAGTCACACTAATCACATTCCAAATGCTCAAGAGCCATGTGGGTCATGTGGGTCTGGTGACTGCTATAATGGACAGCAGTGTTTCCATCACTGTAAAAGTACTTCCAAACAGCCCAGCTCTTCAGGAATAGCTCCCCAGAGTTAATATGGATACAAGTCAGAAAGGTCCCACTAAGTACATCATCAAAGTCTGACATTAATAGATTCTGTTCATTAAAGGTATACTTTTATTTCCAAGTAAAAGCTCTGTTTCCAAAATTTTAAGTGTCTTAAGTTTTCTGTATTCTTTAGAGATATGAAATTGTAAGTGCTTCTTCTTCTTTTTTTTTTTTTTTTTAGTGGTAAATGCTGCTACTCTAACATTCCCCCCCCTCTGAAGAGGCAACCCTAAAATCTTTTAAGGATTGGTGCACCCGTGTTGTGCAAAGCCTGCAGAGATCAGAAAAGGACATCAAATTCCCTTGGAACTGGAGAGAGACAGTTGGTAGCCACCATGTGGGTGCTGGGAATTGAACCCGGGTCCTCTGCAAGAACAGTCAGTGCTCTTAACCACTGAGCCATCTCTCCAGCCCCGAAATTTGTTTTCTTGATTTTCCTTGGCTCTTAACCCCTCCTACCTTCAAAACCAGCAATGGTAGAGTTATAGGTAAGGGGAAGGGTGCTTGAGAAGCAGATGCAAAGCCCTAGGTTCAGATCACTGATACAAAAAGCAAAAATGAAATAAAAAGCCCAGCAATAGCAGGTTAGATCTGACACCACTGACCCTTGTGTCGTTACTTTTTCTCTTATAAGGGCCCTTACATTGGCCAACTGATAATCCACGGTAATTTCATCTCATGGCTGTCCCACTGGCAACCTTAATTCCATCTAGCTTCGTTGGACCATCTTCTACTGACTACAGGGATTCTGGGCAGATCTCTTCGCTGGTGACTGTATTTGTACAGAATTGGTCTGTATCATCTCCAAGGTCTTTAACAATCCAAACTGACACAAGGTAATAGTTACTATTATATTTGGTTTCTCATTGAATTTATTATTCTGAAATACTGTAACTCTGTACTTATACTCAGACGTGATATCCAAAGATACTAGGCCACAATTTTCCCAGAATGTTGGTCAAAGCCCTAAAACACAATACCAATTATGATAGACAAGAGCAGAAGGAGGTTCAGATAAATGATTTTAAACTATGTCTATTAATTCTCTTCCCTGTTTCCTTTTTATTGATACTTAGGATTAATCCAGGGCCTCAAGTATGCTAGGTAAGGGTTCTATTACTGAGCAACATCTTCAGGTTTTTGAGACAGGACCTTGTTACGTATGTAGTCCAAGCTGGTTTTGAGGCCACTATGTAACCCATACAGGCCTCAAACTTGGGATCCTCCTATGCCAGCACCTGGGAAGCAGAGGCAGGCGGATCTGTGTCAGTTCAAGGCCAGCCTGGTCTACATAGTGAGTTCCAGGACAGCTGGGGCTACAGGGAGACCCTGTCTCAAAAAGACCAAAAAAAAAAAAGAAAAAGAAAAAAAAAAAGTTTATTACTATGGATCTAACAGCCTCCTCTGTCCTCCACAGGCATTGCACCTACATGCAGGCAATACATGCATACACATAAAATAAAAATATTTTTTAAAAGTTTAGTATTTTGCATATAAGATATGTTGAGGTCAGAGGACAACCTTTGAAATTTATTTTTATTTTTGATGTGTATGAGTGTATTGCCTGCATGTGTTTAAGTGCACCAGCCTCCAATGCCCTTGGAGGTCAGACGGTGGCATCAGATTACCTGAAACTGGAGTTATATATGGTGGTTAGCTGCTATGTGGGTGCTGAGAATTGAACCTGGGTCCTCTTCAAGAGTCAGTTGGCCCTTTATCTCTGAGCCATCTCAGATCCCCCAGAGGACAACTTTTTGGAGTCTATTTTCTTCTACCTTTATGATGGTTCTGGGGATCCAACTCAGGTTGTCAGGCTTGTACAGCAAACACTTTTCTCACTGAGCCATCTTGCCAGCCCAGTTCCCTCCTTTTTAAATGCAACCTAGAGTTTGCTATATCTTGGCTGAAAGTCAATGGATAAAACTTCATATAGCCATAAAACCTAGCACACACCTTTAATCCCAGCACTTGGGAGGCAGAGCAGGCAGATCTCTGTGAGTTCAAGGCCAGCCTGGTCTACACAGTGAGTCTAGGCCAGCTGTGACCACAGGGAGATCCTGTCTCAAAGACTAAAACCAAAAAAAAGTTGATGAAAGAGTCTAACAGCAGTGATTACTAACTCCATCTCTATACTTGAAACATTTTTATTTTTTTAATTTAATAATGCAAAACACACATGCTCACTGGATATATATTCACACATAACTCTTCTCTCATAGTCACAGCTCAAAAGATTGGTGAATCCAGAGGACCTGCCATGATCCTTACATGGAGCAGACCTACACCAAAGGAAAAAACAATTAAGACACTGGTCAGAAATAATGTTAAAACTAGACTCATCTGAAAAATTTACCTAGAGCATCAGAGAAAAACCCAGGAAACAAACCTATTAAATAGTATCAGAACGTCGTCTTTTTTTTTTTTTTGCCTTTCTGAGCAAGGTCTCCCTGTAGCCCTAGCTGGCTTGCAACTCACTATGTAGACCAGGCTGGCCTTGAACTCGAGAGACCTGCCTGCCTCTGTCTTCTGAGTGCTGGGACTAAAGGGGTGCGTCACCACACCTGGCTCCTATTTCATTTTTATCTTTTAATTAGCTGATTATAGTCATGTTGTTTTTATTGAAATACCTATTTTTTTTTTCTTCTTTGGTTTTTTTTTTTTTGGTCTTTTTGAGACAGCGTCTCCCTGTAGCCCCAGCTGACCTGGAACTCGCTATGTAGACCAGGCTGGCCTCGAACTCACAGAGATCTGCCTGCCTCTGCCTCCCGAGTGCTGGGATTAAAGGCGTGCGCCACCACACCCGGCTTTGAGTCAGGGTCTCCTTGTAGCCCCAGCTGACCTGAAATTCACTATAGTAGACCAGGCTGGCTTTGCTCTCATAAAGATTTGCCTGCCTCTGCTTCCCAAGTGCTGGGATTAAAGGTGGGTGCCACCACACCTGGCTCCTATTTCATTCTTATTTTTTAACTGGCTGGTTATAGTAATGAAATGGGTAACGTGGTAACAGAGAAAAAGAAGCAAAAGATATTGGCAATAAGCCTGAATGTGTTGAATTATATTTATTTGGTATTTTTGAGACAGGGTCTCCCTGTAGTCCCAGCTGGCTTGGAACTCACTATGTAGACCAGGCTGGCCTTGAACTCAGATATTCACCTGCCCCTGCCTCCCAAGTGCTGGGATTAAAGGTGTACACCACCACACCCAGCTAAATACAGAAAATATTTAAGCAAAGTAATTCGTGGAAGCTGGGACTTTGTGTGTATATGCATGAGTGTTTGAATGTACATGGGCAAAAGCATGTACTGCTCAAGAGGAGTTCAGTTCCCAGCACCCATGCTGGGCAGCTCCAGGGAATCTGACTCCTTAGGCCTCCAGGGGGCACTACACATATATACACACATACATACATACACATACACACACACACACACGCACGCATGCACGCATGCACACACACACATCCCCCCTAAGGAAAAAAACAATCTTAGAAAAAAAAAAAGCTGGGCATGGCATGGTGACACATGGCTTTTAATCCCAGCACTCAGGAGGCACAGGCAAGCAGGTCTCTTTTGAGTTTGAGGCCAACCTGGTCTACAGAACAAGTTCCAGGCCAGTCAAGAATACATAATGGGACTCTGCCTCAAAAAAATAAGCATAAGCCTAAAAACAAAATGCCCCTATAACTTGCATAATTTATTCACTCTATAAATTATATACTTACTATATTAGTATTTCCAAAGTTTATTCCAATCCATTTCTTCTTTTATACTCCAAAACATCTTCATTATGTTGTTTGATGAGCTACAAGTTAATAGTTAAAATCAGAAATGTAATTTTCCTATTAGATTAAAGGGAAACTAAGGATTCTTATGTTTCATAAGGGAAATAGGGTAGGTTAAAATAATTACTATTCTGGTAATAAAAAGCTGAGGCTCAAAAGTTTAAAAACCATTAATAGAAGACATTTGTTGACTACAATCTGACACTATATTTGAAAAGATATGTCTACACACACACACAAAATCATATAGTGGATGGGAGGGTTCCAATGGGCAAGGGGGAAGGGAGTATAAAGATGATTTTATGTATGAAATACACAAAAATTCAATTAAAATGTTAAAAAAAATCATATAATGGAAATCATTATGGCAGAAGGATTAAACCAACTTGACACCAACCAGTTATCAAATGTCAAGTGTGGCCTATGCTGGTGATGCTATACTTTGGTTTATTTATTTATGTATTTTTTCAGAGGGTTGGCGGGGAGGTGGGTGTTTTCTTGTGTGTCTTCTGAGACAAGGTCTCATTATGTTACCCTGGATGATCTGGAACTCACAGAAATCCGCTTGCCTCTGCCTCCCAAGTATTGGCACTAAAGCCTTGAGGCACCACACCTGGCCTTTCTGTGTGTGTGTATGCAGGGGTACTTGCCTGTGCTTGCTCATGTGGAGGCCAGAGGTCCACTTTGGGTATCTTCCTCTATCCCACCGATTTCCACCTTACTTTTTGGGACAGAATCTTTCATTGAACATAAAGCTGGCTATTTGGTTAGACTGGCTGGCTAGTTAAGCCCAGTGGTAGATCTGCCTGTCTCTGTAGCCCACCCCTCCTCCACCAGTGCTAGGGTTACAGACTCAGGCTACAATATTGGGCTTTTACTTGGGTGCTGAGGATCGGCACTCAGGTCTTCATGCTAATGTAGCAAGCAGTTTACCCACTGAGCCATCTCCCTAAACCAATGTATGCTATACTTTTCATTTTAGGAGTCTGACACTATGAGTGAATAACCAATCCTACCTCTCGCCCATTTGTGTGTTAATTAGATGTCAGAGGATAGCTACTTTCTTAGAACCACTGTCTGACAGAATATGCAACTGGAAAAATGGTTGATATATGATGACGTTCATGGAAATCAAAGACCTGATTTCAATTCTTAGTGCTCTCAGCAGCAATCAAGCCTCCAATCAGGGAAAACTTCTAACATAGAAAACTGGGGCTCAAGATATGGCTCAGCAGTTAAGAAAGCATGTACTGCTCTTGCAGTGGACCTGAGTTCTGTTCCCAGCACAAATGTTGGGTGGCTCAATTGCCTGTAATAACCCCAGAAGTGGTGATCTGATGCCCTCTTCTGGACTCTGTGGGCACCTACACTCATGTATACATAACACACATGAATAGACATAATTAAAAATAAAGATGTATAAATGTATAAAACTACATCATAACAAATAATTAAAAGGATTAATTATTGTAGTGAATTTTTTATTTTTTTGATTTTTTTTTAAGACAGGGTCTCCCTGCAGCCCTAGCTGGCCTCAAACTCAACTCACAGAGCTCCGACTGTCTCTGCCTCCTGAGTGCTGGGACTAAAGGTGTGTGCCACAGTGCCCAGCAATGACTTCCTTTTTTTCAATTTAAAAAATTTTATGTGTATAAGTGCTTTGCCTGCAAGTGTAAGTACACATGTGCATGCCATGCTCACAGAGATCAGAAGAAGGTATTAGATTCCCTGGTACTGAAGTTATGGATGCATGTGGGTGTTGGGGACTGAACCTGGGTCTTCTGCAAGAGTAGTCAGTGTTCTTAAGTGCCAAGCCATCTCTCTGGCTCAAACTATGACTTTCAACATCTCTTATGCCTTCCATGTCATAAACTTGAACCACTTAAAAGAAAAAATACACAGTAAGAGATGTAAGAGCTAGAGACAGCAGGCAGTAAAGAAAAGCCCAAACATATTAGAAACAAAAAATTTAAATACTGGCTGGGCACACGCCTTTAATCCCAACACTCAGGAGGCAGAGGCAGGAGGATCTCTGAGTTCAAGGCCAGCCTGGTCTACATAGCCAGTTCCAGGCCAGCTAGGGCTACAGGGAGACACTGTCTCAAAAAGACAAAAACAAACAAACAAAAAACCCAAACCAAACCAAACTGGGGCTGGAGAGGTAGCTCAGCAGCACAGGCTACTCTTGCAAAGGCCCTGGGTTCAATTCCCAGCACCCACATGGCAGCTAACAGCTGTCCTAACTCCAGTTCTAGGGAAATCTGACACCCTCTTCTGATCTCCATGGGTATTGCTCAACATGGGTGCACTTATACACATGCAGGCAATACACTCATACATATTTAAAAAAAAAAGGAATTCTAGAGTTCCATAGTAAGACCAATCTCAAACAAAACAATCTAATGTAGCAGACATTTTTAGGTTTTTAATATATTAACTTTTTGTGGGGAGGTGTATGGATGTCAGAGGGCAACTTGCTGGAGTTCTTTTTCATGTGGGCTCAGGTGATGGAACTCAAGTCTTTAGGCTTTGGTGGCAAGCACCTTTAAACTCCGAGGCATCTCCCCAAATGATAGGAGACAATTTTAATTAACTTAAAAATATAATTTCATCTCTAGCAAAGCAGTCTTTGACAGCTGCCTATTGTAATACAGCCTCCAAAAGCAGGGAGGACCAGGATTCAGCAAACTAAGTTTCTTCATCTGTAAAGGGTCAACAGTAATAGCATGTGTCATATAGTATTGTACACATGAAAATGCTGTACACACTAGGTATAATTTCAAACAATGTTTTGCCAGGTGTGGTGGCTTTAGTCCCAGCACTCAGGAGGCAGAGGCAGGCAGCTCTCTGTGAGTTCTAGGTCTCAAATCCTGGTCTACAAATCGAGTTCCGGCCAGCTGGGGCTATAGGGAGATCCTGTCTCAAAAAGACCAAACAAAACAAAACACCTCAATGTTTTGGCATTCCATTAAGATTTATTTTGGAGCTAGGTGTGGTGGCACTAGCACTCGCGAGGCAGAGGCAGGCAGATCTCTGTGAGTCGGAGGCCAGCCTGGTCTCCATAGTGAACCCAGGACAGCTGGGGCTACAGGGAGACCCTGTCTCCTGTCTCCAAAAATAATTAATTAATTATTAATTAATTAGAAGAAGGTGCATGCTAATTCATAACAGATTCAAATCTTTCTAAGGTATACTTTTCCTTAAAATCATGGACCAAACAAGGCAGCTTTCCTGCCATTGTCTGTCAATAAGAAAACTCAATAAACAAACTGAGGTTGGCACTGCTAATTGTGCACATTCACAGGATTGTACTGTCCTCTGTTTCTTCACAGAGAATTAGAGGTTCAGTGACTCTTGGCACAAGAACCGTACTATTCCTCAATAAACCAGGTTAAAGTAACAATACATTTCAGTCTTGTCATCTTGTCATACTTTTTCCCTTTTTTTTGGTCCTTCGTGGAATGTTCTTTATGGAGAAATAAGTTACTAGCAATAACCAGAAGAATCTATAATATGGGGGCTGCAATGTAACCGCAACATGAGATTTCATGCTATCTAGTCCCTTCCCCTCTAAGAGTGGAGTAACTCACATAAATCCACAGGAAAACCGAGGTACCCAAGGTCAGCCCAACTTTCAGCCAGTCAGGTTTGGCATTGGGAGGCTCCCGGACGTAGAACTTAGACCGTGAAGCTGAAAGGGGAGAGCGACAATCTGTAACTTACTGCTTTGTGTGTGGGTGAAGTATCTAACACTTACTTGCGTACCATCATACTGAATTCTTTTCTGAGATGGGGTTTCAGGTATCCCAGTCTGACTCTGAACTCTTGATAAGCCTCCACCTCCCCAGGGCTGGGGTGACAGGCGAGCTCCACTATGCCTGGCTTTCACTTCTGATTTATCTCCCCTCCCCCATTTAAACAGCCAAGGGAACAGCTTTCTAAGAAGTGAAATAACTTGTCCCGGGCCTCCAGCAGGGCCACAAGGGCCGACCCAATCACGCAGGACGCTTTCAAAGCTTCCAATTAGGACTCGAGGACGCTCAAAGGCTCGGGAGTGAGAGATGGGAAGGAATCCCCGGGAAGGATCTCTCTTCCTGTTGTATATGCAGGGAAGACTTTGCAGGGTTGGGGACAAAAAGGACCCAAAATCCGCCCAGGGGTAGGCCGTTTGGAGGAGGGCTAGCGGAGGCTGATGATAGGGTGCAGGTGCAGAAATTTGGGCCACGGCCGAAGGTCACTGCAGGACGAGCCCGGGCCGCACCCGCCTCCGGTTGCCGCGGGTCTGCGGTGGTTCGTACTGGGCAGGGGTAGGTTGGGAACCGACAGGGCCCGCAGGGACACTCACAGCCGCTCGGGAGCCTGGAGGGGGCCAGCAGCCGGGAGAAAGCGCGGAACAGCAAAGACGACGCCATAATGCTTGGCGGGTTCCACCCCACCCTGCGCGCGCATCTCCGGCGGGTCGTGCGAGGTGCAGCGCCCCCTAGCAGCGGAAGCTGAGCTCTCAGGCTCTGCGTCCCAGCAAGGACTCGTGAGCTACAGCCCTGCAATTTAGCAAACTCTCCTTGCCTAAGGCGCCTGTCCATAAAACTAAGGATGGGAAGAGGGCCAGGGCCTGGAAGGCTGTCCACTACCAGGGGTACTCATCAGAAAGCTTATAAAAATGTTCCCTTGTAATCCGAAAACTGAAAATTGTCTTGTTGAAGAATAAAATTTGGGTTGTGTTTCAGGAACCTTGAGTTAACGCATTGTGTGATTACATTCATTATCTCATTTCATCTACGTTGTCCACAAGATTATTCGCATCAGTTAACATATGTTCAAAGAAGAAAAACTTGTTAACTAATGTAACATTGTATATACTTTGTAAAGATCTCTTAACAGTTCCTAAAGTCTATTTACACTTAGGGCTCTGTAAGGTAGAATACTTTTTCACTGAGGGTGGAACCCAGGGCCTCCCACATGCAAGTCAAGTGTCCTACCATTCAGCTATATATCCCCACCCATCTGATTTTTGTTTTGTTTTCTGCAGCCTTGTCTGGCTTGGAACTGGCTATGTAGACTAGTCTGGCCTCAAACTCCTAGAGATCCCACTGACCTCTGCCTCCCCAGTGCCTAGCCATCTTTTTACTTATTATTTTGAGATAGTGTCTTGCTAAATTGCTTAGGTAGGCCCTGAACTTGTGATCCTCCTGCCTCAGCCACAGGTCTTTGCCACCAGGCCCTGTCAAAATTTTTATAGATGTGAAAGTACCCTGACTTGTCTAGGCTAGGGATCCAGCTGGCAGAGGAATCCAGTGTGAGAGCCTCAGGTTTTAGATATAGTGATCCTGTTAGCCTGGACTGTGCCTGAGCCCATAAGCCTATACAGAACAGGACCCAAATGGTCACATTCCAAATGTCATTTCTGCCTACCACATTTTAACCAGATGATTTTTAGTTATTTAATCTCTACCTCAGTTTTACATCTGTAATATAAAACCTATCCTTTAGGGTAGTTAAGGAGCTTAGAAAGTGGGAGGTGTAAGTAACATGTATGTCTATTCAAGACATTGTACTGATCATTTTGGTTTGTATCTTGTGCAATTTAGCCAGATCCTTGTGCATTCAATTCTTAGTTCTATTTGGTGTCAAAAAATGTATAGGTAACATGATAAATTCTTACCCTTAAAAAAGCTATTTGCAGGGCTGGAGAGATGGCTCAGCAGTAAAGAGCACTGGCTACTCTTGCAGAGGACCAGGGTTCAAATCCCAGCACCCACATGGCAGCTAACAACTGTCTATAACTCCAGTATCAGAGGATCTGACACTCTCTTCTGTCCTCCTCCTTCTGCATGATATGGGTGTACTTACATACACGCAGGCAATACACATACATGAAATAAAAAAAATTTTTTTAAAAAGCTATTTGTGCCGGGTGTGGTGTTGCACACCTTTAATCCCAGCACTGGAGAGGCAGAGGCAAGCAGATCTCTGTGTGTTTGAGGCCAGTCTGGACTACACAGTGAGTTTCAGGCCAGCTGGGGCTACAGGGAGACCTTGTATCAAAAAGACCAAAAAAAAAAAAAAGGTATTTACTTAAAAATTAATGCTGTTTAGGTCCACTTCAATAGTAAAATCAGTGTTAGCACTTTTCTATGTATTTTTTTGGCAATGTTATTTTAAAATATCTCCTTACTAAAATTAAAGGTTATTAGGTGAGTGTGGCAGTTCATGCCTATAATCGAAGCACTTATGTAGCTGAGGAAGGAGGATAGATTCAATTTTAAGAGTCATTTTGGGTTTCATAGTGAGTTCCAGGCCAGCTGGGCTACAGTATAAGACCCTGTCTCAAAAAAGAAAAATGAGAAGGGGGCTGGTGAGATAGATCAGGGGGTAAAAGCATTTGCCACCAAGCCTGAAAACCTGAGTTCAGCCCTCGTTTCCACATGGTGGAAGAAAAGAATAGACTTCTGAAAGTTGTCTTCTGACTTCCACATGGGTGTAGTGGTATGCATGAGTTTGTGTGTGTGTGTGTGTGTGTGTGTATTTTTTAAATTGGAAAACAAGAGTTGGGTATGGTGGCACGAGTTTATCCCAGCACTGAGGAAGGAGAGGCAGGATCTCTGTGAGATCAAGGCTAGCCTAGTCCACATAGTGAGAGCTCCAAGCCAGCTGGGGCTACAGGGAGAACCTTCCTCAAAACAATAACAACAACAACAAAAATTGAAAAAAAAATTGAAGAAAAAAAAAGGAAAAAGAAATTGATCAAATTACTCTTTTAGAGTAATTGTATTGTGTTTCCCATCTCGTATAAAATACAAATGATGTCTAAGCATGTTGCTAAAACTGTGAGTCACATTCGAGTTTGCAACCTAGGTTGAGCCTCCTGGACTCAGGCTCAAGTAAGCAAAGCAGCCTATTAACGCGCTGAGTCAGTTGTTGGCTCTCAGCTTACTGGCTTCTTGTTTACTCAGCAGTCAGTTGTATATCCTTTCCACACCATCCCTCCGGTGCTTGTCCTGACACAGTTTTGCTAGTCTCCAGCAAGTTGAAACAGAAGCCATGGTTAGTCAGAGTACACAGAACCACTAAGCACATTACCAGCTTCAGGATCTGTGTTGGGAGTCTGTTTTGTTCTTTTTTCAGAACTTTGGTCCCAGTATCCCTTTACTAGTGTTTATTTTGGGAAAGTGATGAAGTCTAAGCACATTAGAGCTTATGGAACCTACAATTGGGATGAAACACCATCCTGAAAAGAATCTAACCAGGAGTTAATAGCTATTATAGTTTGGCAGAAGTTGCTTCATAACATGCATTTAAACTGTATCCTGGATTTACATGCTAAAACTTTATTCATGACCCAGGTGAAAAGAGATTTGAGTTTGTAGCTAGAAAAACTAAAGTTTTAGCCCTACCTCTTTCCGTGAAGAACATGGAAACATCTTACTTAACTTATATCTCCCAGAGAAGGAGCAAAGAAGAGCAAGAATTAAAGTTATAAAACACAAAACGACTACACACGTTTACTGACTTAAAACACATGAGAATTCCATAGATCAAATTCAGAACCTGAAGGATGGTCTTCCTCTTATATTTGCAAGTTTTTAAAAATTTTTTATTAAACAACAACAAAAATCAGAAGCCATCCGGAAATGTTATTTTGTTAAATATAGATGGCAGCTTTATATTGTTTTTGTATAAAACAAAACGGATCTGAATTATTAAGATGTGAATCTCAATCTGTGTGTGTGTGTGTGTGTGTGTGCTTTTAGACAGGATCTTGCTATAGAGCCCAGACTGACCACTGCCCTCAGATTGATGGCAATCCTCCTGAGTGCTGGAATTACAATGTGCTATCACACCCATTTTTTTTTAAAAGACAGGATTTGGCCTTGAACTCTCCTCCTGCCTTAGCCTTCCCAGTGCTGGAGTTACATATGTATACCATCACACCCAGCTAGCAGAAGCATTTTAACTATATTGATGTGGTAGGCTATAAGGTAAGATGAAATAAATCATGATCAGTGGCAGCTGCAGCACCTTATACCCTTGGCTATAACTTCCTGGAAGCTATCACACACAGCTTATCTTAAATGTCTGTGTGTCAAATACTGGTGATAAGAGTAGATATTTTATCATTGAACTCAGGCTATCATGTCACTGGCTGTGTGGTCAGACTATTATCTGTATGAGCATTTTAACTGGGAAATTAAGCAGATAAATGTTGAAATAAGACCAGTATTCACTGAGACCTAAAAACTGCTGTTTAGCCAGGTGTGGTGGTGCTGCAGCTCTTTAATCCCAGCACTTGAGAGGCAGAGGCAGGTGGATCTCTGTGAGATGGAGGCCAGCCTGGTCTATATAGTGAGTTCCAGGCCAGCTGGGGCTATAGGGAGACCCTGTCTCAAAACAAACAACTGTTGTTTAGTGATTGGAGAGATGGCTCAGTAGTTAAGAGCACTTGCTGTTCTTGCAGAAAACCTGTTTGGTTATCAGTACCCAGTTAGGTGGTTAACAACTGTCTATAACTCCAGCTCTAGGGAATCTGATACCCTCTTCTGGCTTCTGTGCCTACCTGCACTCCCGTGTGTGTGTGTGTGTGTGTGTGTGTGTATGTGTGTGTGTGTATGTGTGCGCGCACGTGCTGGGCATGTTGGCACATGCCTGTAATCCCTGTACTTGGGAGGCAGAAACAGGGGGATCTCTGTCTGCCAGCCTGGTCTACACAGCAGGTTCCAGTCCAGCTGTGTGGGGCTATAAGAAGACCCTGCCTCAAAAACAACCAACACCGGGCTGGAGAGAGGGCTCAGTGGTTAAGAGCACTGACTGCTCTTGCACAGGACCCAGATTTGATTCCCAGCACCCACATGGCGGCTATAGACTGTCCTTAACTCCAGTTCCAGGGGAATCTGAAGCCCTCTTCTCGCCTCTGAGGCGTTGCATGACATGGGTGCACTCACATACATGTATGCAATACACTCATACACATAAAAAAAAAAAACAAAAACAACAACAAGCCATTTATTTATTTGTGTCTTTGTGAATGTTTTGAGGATTTTCTTTTTAATGTTTTTGTCTTTTGAGGCAGGGTCTCCCCATAGCTCCAACTAGCCTGGAACTCACTATGTGACAGGCTGGCCTTGAACTCACAGAGATCTGCCTACTTCTGCCTCCCAAGTGCTGGGACTATAGGCATGTGCCACCATGCTCAGCCTCACAAATTATCAGTCAAAAAGAACTGACATTTGTCAAACTAGATTGCTGGTTCATCTAATCAGGTACTTAACTTGGCTAGCAGTAACACATTTCATAGGCTAGAGATTTGAAGGGAAAAAAATAGGGTAGTATATAGGAGAGAAATTTAGAAAACCAGAGCAAATACTATTACTGTAGGAAGCTTTGGACTAAAACTAGGGGGTAGAGAGATGGCTCTGCAGTTTAAGAGCACTAGCTGCTTTTGCAGAGGACCAAGATTTGGTTCCCAGCACCAACATGTTGGCTAAC